CTGTGGGCTGAACTGCTTGCTGCACCCAGGGGAAGGGGTTGGGACATACCGGGCTGCTATGCTGTGGCCAAAGCCAAAGAGTGTCCCTTCCCAGTGTCCGGGACAGGACAGCAGCATTTTGTTTTGTTTATTTAAAGGACAGTGTTTTATTTGGATGGACTGGCTGATGAGCTCTTCAGAGAGGAAAACCTGCCTGCAGAAACTAGCAGGCTAGGCTACCTGCTTATAAATGGCTAGAAAACTGCTGCTAGACCCACAATGGGAAACACAACTTTGCCCACTGAATTCTGTGTTATTTTTAATAAGTTATTTTACAAGTATAGGATAGCATAGTACCTGCTCTGAAGAACTTTCCATCCAATATAGTCTTAATGATTAGGGCCCTGATTCAGCACATTTCCTAAACATTTTCCCAAAATAAATATGTAATCCCAGTACAGTCAAAGGAATGACTCATGTCTTAAACATAAGAAAGTCTTTAAATGCCATTTTTTTCAGGGTGAGGGCCTAATATGTATATAGATTAATAAGTATATATACATAGAAAAGGCATTACTCATCACTGCTTTTTTGCAAAGAAGAAGTCTGATTTGCAAAGAATCTTTGATACAGAGGGTGGGGAAGATTAGCAACTGGGATAAAGCCAATAAAGTTATGCCCAACATGTTCACCAGCTGATCAATTTTATTATCTCAGACCATCTTACAGAGTTAAGAAGCAAATAAGGGCAGAGGGCCCAGCAGGAAGGGAAAGATAAGGCATATGTACAAGGTAGAAAAGTTTCCTGATGATGTTTGAAATGAGAGCAGAAATGGCTGAGGTAAAGTAAAGCATGTTGCACAGTCCACATGCAAGAGAAAAATATTATTTTTTCAGTATCCAACAGATTTTTTTTCCTCATGATCAACCCCTGTTATCTCTAAATCAATACAAAAATACTGGATAACTAATCTCAATTCTTACCATTATTAAAGCCTTTTAAAGACTTTTTTTTTACTTTCAAATAAAATTATCCTGCCTTATAATATGCAGTTCTCATTGGTCAAAACAAAAACAACCAGAAGGTGGCATCTGGGATCAAAAGCCAGACAGAATACCAAAAAAACCATTAAAAGAGTCCTGACAAAATTACAGGTGAACTCTTTTAGAGGGCACTTCTTTGAAGGTTTATATTTGAACCATCTGTCTATGAATATTTTCTTAGGGTACCATTTAAGCAAACAATCATGCAATAGTTCTATGGTAGTAGTGCCAAACCTTCTGGCCTGTATGTGCTGCAAGGCTAGTCCATGGGCTTTATCTGGCACATGGGTTTGGTCCGTGGGTGTAATACAGTGTGTTCTCACAGCTGCGTGCACTAGCCTGACACTATGAGTGGTCAAATCTCACAAGCTGGATCCAGGTGCTTGCTCACTTAATGCAGTCTAGCCGGCAGTGTCATGTCAGCCAGCCCACAGGGCTCCCCATGGGTGTAGAAATTTGGCAGCAAAGAGCTGCAATTAACTGCTCTCCTGCTGCCAAATTTGGGGACCTGTGGGGAGACCCACAGGCTGGATGACAAGGCCTCACAGGCCAGATCTAGTCCACAAGCCAAAGGTTGAACAAGTTGCAGAGCAACTGCAGGCCAGAGGTTGAACAACACATAGAACACCTAGTCCTATGGCTTTTTGCTGAAAATACTACCCTTTTCAGTCCTCTTTTTTGACAATTTTATAGACCAAAATACAAAAAAAATAAGAATCTTGCTTCCAATTGCTCTGCAAATTGTAGGAAAAAAATCTCATTCTGAATCAACATTTTCTATTTTTTATTTTTCTTGACAATTTCCAAACCAATAGAATCCTGTTTGTCAAATACATTTTGTACTTGATAGCACATAGAGAAATTGTTGGTGGAAGCCAATAGAGTTCCCAGTGTGAGTAGCCATTTACCTGTGCTACAGATCCTTCAGAGAGGCTAGTTTCTTGCAAGACAATTATTTCCTAATTAATGTAATCTTAATTAATGTATTGGGTTTCTACATAAATATAATTTATTCAGAATTATAATGCAATATGAATAGCTAGTTTTTCTTCCTGATCTTTTTTGTATGGTTATGAATTGAAATACTGTCATTTCTGGGATTTGTAACATTGATGTACTTTGAAGGATGCATTGATCAAACAATGCCAAGAATATTCATTTAAAATTTAATTTAGGATTTTTTTCCATTTATGTAAAGCACTCCTTTGCATATTTTATTGTCCACTTGTCTTATTTTTCAGTTTCATATATTTAATCACAGGCAGTTATTCCAACATACTTCCCTTTAAATAATTTATCTTGTCTCTAAGAATTTCATTCTTTGTTCTATGAAAATTCTTTACAATTTAATAAAAATGTGAATTAACATATTTACCAGGCAAGGGTTTCAAAATAGCTGGCAGACAATACATAATTTTAATCCCTACTTTCAGTTTTGTGGTAGAATGATTGTCAATTCCAAACTAAATGTAAATTGTTGCAAAAACATATCATTAAGGAAATGATTAAGTGTTGTCTGAGAATGATAAAACTCCCAAACCTGGTTTGAATTATATCCTCAGAGTATGATTATGGTTTAAAAAAATATTTTAAAAAAAAGCAATTCTAAAAGTCTTTTTTTATAACTATATGTATCTGATCCTGGTGTATTTACTAAATCATATCTGTTTGGTTTATAGAACTAAAAAGCCTAAATACCTATGGGAAAAATGAGCTGTGTTCTCTTTTTGGTTCATATATCAAAACTGTCAGGCAACTTTTCAGACTTGAAACTTAATTGTAGGTGATGATGATATACAGCATAAAGCAAAACAATCACTGTTTGATATGGCTAATCTGACAATTTGGACTCTGAGGAAAAATGTAGAGGTTTTTTGCCTTGTAAAAATTGCATTGTTGAATAAACATATCGTTACAAAACAAGTAGGGAAGATGCAGATGCCATTGTTACAATTCAGAGATCCTGGTTTTCTCTGTTTAAAAACTGCAAATGCTTGAAATGCCACTATATATATAGGTATCAGTTGGATCCAATGTTTTATTGCTGTGTTTACAATTTTTAAGCAATTTGGAAGCCTACCAGTGCCTCAATCATTATAATAAAATACATTCTAAATACCTATACACTTTGGCATTTGATTTTGGGTTTTTCTATCATGGAAAATCATACATCCCCTTGCCCCCTTCACTTACCAGAATGCAGGTCCAGCTGCAGCTGCCCCCTACCCCATCCAGTGCTTTGTGGTGCTGAGCAGCCCTGCTATGTTGGTGTCCTGCCTCTGCCCATGCCGTTGCTCATCACTCCCAACCCACAGCCTCCTGGCCCTTCTGGTACTCCTCACTCCCAACCCAAAGCCTCCTGGCCTGGCTGATGCCACTCACTCCTGACCCACTGCCCCCAGCCCCCCAGTGTATAAGGAAGAGGGTGGGTGTGTGGGGAAGGAGGGCTGTGGACACAGGCCACATGGGGAGGGAACTGATGATACATGGGGAGGCAGGGGAGCATGTACCCCACCAATTTCTGTGTCCACAGTGGGGCATAGACTTGCTGCTGGGCCAGCCCTTGTCAGGAGCTGCTTCCGCTACCCAGCAGGTGGACCCAGTGTGGGAGGGAGCACTGCACCACCATAGCCACCAGGGTGAGGTGCAGAGTTGTGCCCCCCACTCCTGCCAGGCAGGCAAGGGTTGCCTCACGTTGGTGACCATGATGGCGCAGAGCTCCCTCCCAAGCCAGGTCCCGTCCACTGGGCTGCGGAGGTGGCTCCTGCCTGGAACTGGTCCTTCCAGGCTGCAGCCCTGTACTCTGTACCCACTTTGGGTGCAGAAATCTGGGGAGGCACATGCCCCCCCACATATCACCTGTGCTCTCCTTGCCCCTCGATGCATTGCCTATGCCCCCCTCATATACTTACCCGGAGGAAGCTCTGGCAGCTGTTCTCCACCACTGCCTGGCTGCTACGTGCATGTGTGTGCATGTGAACATATGCATGTGGCACCCCTGCATCCCACTCTCCCCCAGCCCCAACCCAGGTTGGGGCTAAGCTACACCCCCTCCTCCTGCACAGCTGGCTCAGGGCTGGCCCATGCCCCCTTCTGCCCCCACCCTCCACTATAGATCTGGGCCACTCCCCCTTTCCTCCACCTGGCTAGGTTGGGGACAGCCCGTGGCCCTTCCCCTGGCAGGGCCAGGCAACACCTCCTCCTCTGCATGGCTGGTTTGGGATCGGGCCATGCTCCCTTTGCTCCTTCTCCTCATGGGGCCATGCCCCTTTCCTCCCATCTGGCCATGTTGAAGTTGGGCCACACCCCCTTGAGGGGCTGGGACATGTCCCCTCCCTCCCATAGTGTTGGATTAGGGCTCAGTCATGCACCCTCCTGTCACAGAGCCAGGTTGTGGCTGTGCCAAGGCTTCTTGCCCCACAAGCTGGATCGGGGTTGAGCTGCCCCTGCCCCACTCCACGTGGCCAGATTGGGCTCCATAGCGCCCATCTGGGGTGCTGTATTGGGTCCACCACCTAGATCCAGCCCACGGAGGGGTAACCCACTGCCTATTTGGCCTTGCTAAGGAAAATGTTTGAGCACCACTGGTCTACATGATAACCACCTATTATGGTAACTCCATAAAGCAGTAACATCATCTAGTTATTCACAGTCTTTCCTTCCTGAAATGAAAAGTTTTAAAATGAGATCTTTCAGCCCACCAAGCCTTATCCACCTCCATATTTTCTTCCTGCCATCAATCTCATCATGACTATAACTCCTTCAGCAATGAAGAAATGGACTTTGGAGATGCCATAACACCTCCTGTTGTTACAAGTGGAATGTTTTAGAGATGCAGAAACCAGCTTTCATACACTGTTTCTGTATAAAAACCCAGAATGACTATTTCAGAATGAGACTAGATTATTGTAATCTAAAGATAATGTCATTCTTTCTCAGTATTTTACAAGAATTAATAGAGGAAAACTTTCTTACAGGGAATTAGAGAGGATGGGTATGCAAATCCTGCCATGGCTGCTCAGGATGCAACGGTAACTACAACCAGCTAGCAACTCCTCCAACATGAAATAAAAGAAAGGCTTTTTTAAAACTCTTGTTTAATAGGCTTGTTTAAAGTGGTCTGGGACTAATGATCGTTTGTACCTTTTTCTTCTTCTGATATATTAGGTGCTTTGGGATGCATGTCAGCAAAAGACAGGGGAACACAAAAACATGCTACAAATGATCCTGTGCAACAAGAGCTACCAACAGCTGTGGATGAGTAATTATCATCATTTATGAATCCAACTATTCAGCTATTTGAGTATATGAAGAAAAGGAAAATATAGTTTTCAGGAAAAAGTGGCACAACTCAAGGCAGAGAGAAGTTCCATATTCAGATTTAAATAGAGCCTGTAATTATTAGTACCTGTAAGCCTAAGCGATTTTGTGCTCAGAAAATTTCCATTGGAATTATCGGAAGGATTGCGTGTGTAAGGAATGCAGGAATGAGATCAGTATAGAATAGATGTAGATATGAATTCCCCATAAGGAGAGAAAAAAAGGTGAAGCTAATAGACTTTACCTGCCACTGCACTGAGATTGCACTCAGGAGGCAAAGGTGCTGCTAAGCTACCTTTTCATTTCTCTCAATCCAAGGGCAGAACACAATTCCAACACAAGTGGGACTTGCTTATAAATCGTTGAAACCTTTTTGACACAGCATTTGTTCCATCTGTTTTGCTTAAGCTAAATTCTCTAAAAATGTATCTATTTCTGTGAAGTTTTTAACAGAAAACTGTCTAACATTCAAAGTGCAATCCTTTGTACATCCTCACACACCCCTTCTCAATCTGACTTTTCCCTACTTGAAAACTAATGTTTTTGACATATTTCCATTTCATGAAAGTGTTTCACAGGTTTTAATTACATAGTGAGATAAAAAGCATTTCAGAATCTTGACAGGTGTCACAAAACCAAATTATCTCCATCCAGCCAATACTACTCTTGATGGTTGTTTTAATGTAGAACTGGATGTTAACAACATCCAACAACAACGGTTGACAACACATGTTAACTGAAGGATTAACATGTGGCTTGCCTGCCCACCATTTCCCTAATTGCTCCAGCTGCTTTAGCAGCTGGGGTTTCCAGGATTCCCCTCTCTCTTCCTGCTTCCACTTCCTGCCTCCACCCCTGGGTGTGGCAGCATGGCTCAAATGGGCCTAAGGTACCTGAGTTGCCCATATGGCTGGATAGGGCCAGAGGTGCCTACACAGCAGAGGGCAGGCAGAGTGTCTGCACTGTGTGCACAGTGCAGGGAGGAAGGGGCAGGAGGAGTTGCCCCTATGGTATGCAGCCCCCAGCTATTCAGAAGTTGCACAGCTATTCAGAAGTTCCTGGTATAATCTATAGTGTGCTATTCCCAACTATACCAGAGACTTGTCAGCTGCCCTTGCAGCACAGTTTCCCACCTGGTTTTACTACTTACTGAGTAGAGGATAGGCCTCAATGACTTTTTTTTTAGATTAAGTGTTATTTTGCAAAAATAAACATAACGAATGTAGAAAACCAATAAAATCAGTTGGTGGCAGTTTAATCATTGGTCAAAGCATAGGGTGAACATAAGTCCTGGTTTGGCCAAGACAGTCCTAGATTTTGGAAGCCAGTCCCAGCCAACCAGTGAAAATTAAAATGAGCATCCCAAGCACAGGGCAGAGTGGTGGAGTGGCACAAGCTGTGAAATAGGAAGCCCTAGCAGACAGCAAAATTGCCTTAAGGTTAGGGACAGACATTCAAAAAGCCTGAACCTGAATTGATTCAATCTTTGCAGGTTAGTCTAACCTGACGGGGTTGAACCAGTTTGCAACTGCACAAACATTCTCTCTGGACTGAGGAAATTCAGACAGATGCCTGTAGAGGCTCAGACTAGAAGCCAGGAGGCACTAGGAGCAGCCCCCCTTCCCTTCCATAATGCTGAGCTGAGGGGGGCATGGCCAGGCCCCAGCAGGATGCTCTGATTAGGGAGGAGCTTAAACACCTGCCCTGCCTGCACCATCACAGGCTTTTCCCCACTCGCTGCTCAAGGGACAGGAGTGTTGCTAGCACTCTGAGGCAAAGAGTGGTGTGCACTACATGCATCTGTTGATGATACTGAGCTTTTCAATCTCCTTCTCCATACTGTCTGCAAACCTGACAGACAAGGGAGCCAGCAGGGGGATGACACACTGTTTACCAGCCCATCAACAGAGCAAAAGCCTCTCTCATTAGTTCAAGTTCTTCTTAAACAGCTTTTTCCAAGGAAAAAGAGGGACATTACCAGCTGACCTGTTGATTAGCTCCAAAAAGCCCTAAGCAGACACTGTTCCATCTGCCTGTCCCAGTGAAATTTGAGACACACACATACAGACACCTGTCAGCATTAGGTAGCATACCACATGCCAAGGGTCCATGGGGCTGGGGGCTGTGCTGTGGGAGATGGGAGGGAGAGGGGGATCCCTGTTTGACCAGCAGGCAGTGAAGAGAGGGTGTGGCAGGGGGAAGCAAGGCAGACCCTACTGTGCCTGCAGCCTCTGCCAGAGCTCTGGTTAGGAAGCAGAGGGGCAGGGCCAGCTCTGTTCTCTGGAGCAGACAGCCCACCTCCGCCAAGGGCTGCAAAGCATCTGGGATGCTTGGGGACTGTGGTTTGACTTAAACCAAGAAGGGGTCTGGGACAGACATTGCATAAACTGTTTTGACCCAAATCAGTTAAGTCTGATACTACATTCAACCAGGTTCACCTTCAACCAATTTCAGCCATTTTGAAACTGATTTATGTGCACTGAACATCTGGTCTGTTACATGTTTAAACCAATTTCTGATCACTTAAACTGGTTTATATGTAATGTCTGTCCCTAGCCCATAAGAGGTTACCTTGATTAGTGGAATGACTATTAAAAAAGGAAGAGGACTGTTAACACCTGTGAAGTAAAGAACACTCAGTCATTAATGGGCCATTGACTCCCTTAGCTGTCTGAATACTAATACCAGAGCTACACCATGTCACCCCACCTCCACCTCTGCCTGCAGAGTGTGACTTGAGTGTGAGGAAGATGGGGGGCAGTGTCCCAGATTTCACATTGTTCCATACGATCACCCTACCAAAGCAAAGGTTAAATAAACATATTGTTCCTTCCAAGTTTTTCAGGAGTTCCAGAATATCGCTGGACAAGACCTAGTAAATGCCATCAATGAATGCTATGATGGATACTTTCAAGAGCTACTGGCAGCCATAGGTAAAAATATTATCTTTATATTAATAACAACTTAAGAAAGTATACATGGTCAATTACAATTTTGTGCGGTTTCCCCTTTTCCTGTAGTTGATTTTCATATTACATGAAATAAAAACTTTGAATATTTGGGGGACAATGAACCAACATAAAATGCTCCATGGAAAAAGGGGATATTTAAACTGAATCACAGATTCATGTTTGTGTGAGACGAGATTAAAATGTACAGCACTGGGCAGGGATTGAGCAAACTCAGGTTCCACTCCTAGTTTGCCTGTTAACTTCTTGCATCATCCTGTTCAAGTCCATGAATGGATAATCCTGCTTACACTGAAATCAGAGTCAAAACTACTGTGACTTCAGTGGTGCAGAATCAAGCTCTTAAGCTTGCTGTGCTCCATCTATACAATGAAGATATTTCTCTATCTTTACAAAGATGGTAGCGCAGCTAAATTCACTAAAGCTTAAGAGACATTAATATAGGTTGTTGATGAACATCTTAGGGAAAAAAAGTATCAATACATAATAGGTTATTGTGAATGACAAATATAGTCATCTTTAAGATACCAGCCACTTATCTGTTGGCTGAACGGAGGATGAACCTGCATTGACCAATATGCCAGAAGAAGGAAAGAGAGGTCCAAGTCAGTACAGAGGCACAATGCCTCCAAGGGCTTTGCGGGCAATTTCACAGTGAGTGGAATAAGTATTGTCTGAAAAACTCTCTTAGGAAAGGCTCATGTTTATTTCAGTAGAGATGGCAACCTGACTCACCAACTTGACTCTGTATAGCAGGAGAATTTTCACCAATGTGCATCAATTTAATTTCAATCCAGTAGTCATCCTTCAAACCACAAAAACACATTTTACTCAGAATTACAGGAAAATAAACTGAATGTAATTTTAGGCCTTTATGTAATTACAGTAAATTAAAAAATATATTATGAGAATTTCAGGAACATTTAATATTTAATCTTTTCTACCTAAATTCTCTCTCAGTTCTTTGTGTTCGAGATAAGCCTTCCTACTTTGCTTACAGACTCTACAATGCAATCCATGTAAGTATCACTATTCCTTTCTGTGTTTTAAAAAGATGAGTTAGCTCCATTTTTAAGTATTGCTTGCTTGTTTTAAAGCTTTTGGTAATTAGATAAATTTCAAAGCCAAAGTGCTTGAGCAGCAAAGGAATTTTGCTCTGCATAAAAAGAAAATTAAATCTTTAGATTTTTTTTTAAGAATATCTGCTTGGTAACTGTATTAGCTTTTTGAAAACTAAAAACCATCATTTTCTGTAGACTCTCTCTCCCCCTTGTGTACAAATGTCAAAGTGCACTTTATTAACAATATGATCTTATAGGAATGATCTTCTTCTTATGTGACTTTCCTGTGTAGAGAGTTAATAAATATTACTGCTAAAATCATGGTACAAAAACTGTTATGTGGAAAAAAACTGACCAAATTTTAGTGGGACTCCATTTATATATATGCAGGCCCAGCTATTTGTGTGTGCACTTGCTAAAACATTAAAGCACTCTGTAAATAAATATGTATATATGTACATGCATATAGAAGTACCTGAAAATTCTTCATACAGCTCAATAGAAAAGATTTCCTTAGCTTTTCATTGATTTGCATTGGCGAAACCAGTTTTTATCATAATACATAGTTCTCATTTTGTTTTAATTTCAAAACTGATGCCAGTGCCACAAACTGTTGTATTAAACAAGAGCTGTTTTCAAGTGAAATGTGGAATTTTCCATTTTCACCCTCAAATTATATTTTTTGTGAAAGTGCATTAAGCTGCAAAAACATCAAGCAAAATTCCTCATAATTCCATAGTAAGTAATTTCAAAATCACATGGCAAGGGATTTCAGTGAAATGATAAACTTACTTATACAGAATTTACAGTTATACAGAGCATTAGCCAATCACCTTACATCAAATCTTTGTCAGATTTCCATTTAGAACACTTGCATGATACCAGGAGTCTGTTAAGGTTTCCAATATTTAAAACTATAGTCCCTGATGGATATTAGAAAGATTCTATTGCACTCACCAAATGAAAATCAAATGATGTAACTTGAGCTTTCTGCACTTCCCTTACTGCTTGCTTCTGGGAGATCACGCTCCAGCATGACTAGTTAATTGTACTCAGCCTTGGTGAGGCCGCAGCTGGAGTACTGCATCCAGTTTTGGGCTCCACAATTCAAAAAGGTTGTGGAGAAGCTTGAGAGGCTGCAAAGGAGAGCCATGTGCATGATCAGAGGTCAGGAAAGCAGACCTTATGAAGAGAGGCTGAGAGCCATGGGACTCTTCAGCCTGAAAAAGTGCAGGCTCAGGGGTGATCTGGTGGCCACCTATAAGTTTATCAGGGGTCGTACCAGGATCTGGGGGAACGTCTGTTCACCAGAGTGCCTCAAGGGATGACAAGGTCAAACGGTCACAAACTCCTCCATGACCGTTTCAGGCTGGACATAAGGAAGAACTTCTTTACTGTCTGAGCCCCCAAGGTTTGGAATAGATTGCCGCCAGAGGTGGTTCAAGCACCTACTCTGAACGCCTTCAAAAGACATCTGGATGTTTATCTTGCTGGGATCCTATGATCCCTGCTGACTTCCTGCCCCTGGGGCAGGGGGCTGGACTCGATGATCTTCCAAGGTCCCTTCCAGCCCCAATGTCTATGAAATCTATGAAATTGAGAAATTTAACCTGTGAGCTTTAAATAGCCCAAAGTCAGTAGTGAGCCTCCCAGAACCTTGGAGTTTTGATTATTGTAACTACCCACTAGATGTCACCATTCCTCCATGCAACTGTACTTTGAACTGCATGAATCTAGGAAACTGAATACCTCAAGTGATTTGCAGTTGACAAAACAATGCTCAGAAGATGACAGCTGTTTGGTTACTCACATGAAAGAGTAGTGAGCTCAGTTTAATTTTGGGTGGATTGTTTCTACATAAAAATCACAATCCCACCAGCATTCTTGGGGGCAGCATCAACAAAACAGACTAATGACTGAGGCCCTGATTCAGCAAAGCACTTAAGCCCATATTTAAAGAAAGTAAATGCATCTGTCTAGTGATTATTAACTCTAAAAAAAGAGAAGTAGAAGCATAGATTTATAGAAAAGTGGGGCTGGAAGGGACCGCTGAAGGTCATTTAGTCCAACTCCCCCACCAAATTATCCAAATCCATTTTCTAACCGATTACTAAAACTACACAATCAGCCTTGTCACACAACTTAACCTGCCACAGGTAAAGCAGGGGACAGAAAGACAGAAAAGGGATTCTCCCTCTTCTTTATGGCAGCCCTTCAGATATTTTAAGACTGCTATCAAGTCCCCTCCCAAGCACCTTTTCTACAAGCTGAACATGCTTAATTCCTTCATCTTCCCCTCATATGGATAGCCTTCCAAGCCCTTCATCTTTGTCCCCGTCTCTGAACCCTAACTTTTCCATGTTCTTTTTAAAATGTAGAGCCCAAAATTGCACCTAGTACTGCAGGAGAGGCCTAACCAGTCCCAAGCATTATCACTTCCCATGTTGTGCACCTAATGCTCCTATTGATGGAACCCAAAACTGCATTCACCTTTTGTGCATCACACTGCAGAGGCATGTTGAGTCTGTTATCCACCAAGACTCCTAGATCCTTCCCCATAGACCTGCCATCCAACCACATGTCACTCATTTTGTAGTTGTGTTTTTGTTTATTCCTCCTGAGGTGGAGTACCTTGCATTCATCAGCATTAAACATCATCTTGCTAGCTCCAGCCCAGATTTCCAATCTGTCAAAACCCTTTCTAAATTGTGCTTCTTCCTCCAGTGTATTCACAGTCCTTGCCAGTTTCAGATTATCTGCAAATATACTCAAAAACTCTCTAGTCCAGCCTGTATTCTAGTAGTTAGCCTGTTAGCCTTAAATTAGGCAGAAGGCAGGACAGGAAGGCACACTGAAGACTAACTTGTTCAGAAAGGCATAAGCTTTCATAGATGACAGTCTCCTTACAGTACCTAACAACGTAGCTTTGCCGTGTGAAAGCTGATACATTACTGAATTATATAGTCCTGCAGTAGGCAACCTATTTCAGCTCCTGGCTAAAATGATCCACCTGAACTCAGAGGCAGGAAGGCAGGCAGCACGGTAGGTGCTACAACCCACCCATAGCTAGCACTTCACCCATGGCAGCATGGGAGAGAACCCACAGCTGGCACTTCTCCCTGCAGTGGCATGGGGAAAGCAACAGCAGCCAAAATCCTTATGTCCATGGGCCAGATCTGATGGCTCCATGGGCCATATCTGGCTTACAGGCCATAGATTGCCAACCCCTGATTAAGTCTCTAAAGTGCCACTCTACCCTACCTTCTTAAAAAAAAGTTTTGGAAGTGCTAAGTGGCAGCTGTTTGACCTCTTACACAGCAATATGAATATACTGTATGTAGCTGAGAAAGCTCACTACAATAAAGCTTAAGAGACCTAATTTCTCTCAGAGTATCTATCTGGTGGGCCTAATTTTCTCATCTGCATATATATGAATTACATACACTCATTCAGTTAAGTTTCCTCATGTCATCATCCTTTCTAGGAATTTGGTTTCCATAACAAAACTATCATCAGGATTCTGATTGCCAGAAGTGAAATAGATCTCTTGACTATAAGACAACGATACAAAGAGAGATATGGAAAATCACTGTTTCATGATCTCAAAGTAAGTCTTTATTCATTCTTTTGTATATATACTGTACATAGCTTAATAACTCGATTTAACATATTGGTACCAGAGCAGCAGCAAGCATTAATTATGAATAATATCTTGTCATTTGAGGCAAAAGCAGAAGTATTATTTATAGTACTCAACCTCACAAACTACATTAGTTTGGTGCCACAGACTACTTTCAGTAAGTAAGCAATTAAGACAGAAGAATGAACTAGATAATGTTGAGAGTGGTGTTGTAGCTATGATCATTGCCCCTGGGAATTACTAAATTTTAAACTCACTCTTATATTCCGGGACTAATTCAGTTCATCTGGCATGATAAGGAGACAAGAAGGGGACAGAACAGCCCACTGGAAATGCTTAGAATAAAGGAATTCCACTACTGACATAGGCCTTGTTCAGCTGTAAGTGCCACAAGTACATTTTCTGATGTGGGGCTGTGCCCAGAGGCAATTTGGGCAAGGAAATGGTGCTGCAGGAGCATGCTCTGTTCTACTCTTCCCATTTTGGGTTGTGAAACAACCAAGTAGTTATACTAGAATTTAAAGCAGCTTCAGGTGCCAACCAAGTCTAGAAGTCAGGTGTCCCAAAGATGATAACAATTCCCTACCTGGGCTATGTTACTTGTGTAGCATAACTCATTGTACCTTAAAATATTCAGGAGCCTTTGTTACATCCACCCTAAGGCACAGAACCAATTTTACATATTATTCAAGAAATGCAAATGTGTGCACATTATATGGCTTCTCTATATCTGCCCTTATTGTTTCACCACATCTGGGACTCCTCTATTCATGTCTTATTTTGCAAAAGACAAAGAAGACATGGTTGAATTGATTGCAGCCTCACCTTAATGTACTGCTATGAAAACAGATTACTTCCTAAAGCTTCTTTTTCTCTATAAAGAAACCCCAAATGATCATATCAGTTAGTTCTACAGGGAAACAAAACAAAACAAAAAACTCTAATACAAATTACAAAATTTGATGATAGAGCCTCATCCTATTCCTAAAAGTCAACTCATGTTTTGCCACTAACCTCAAGGGGATTAAACGAGGTTCCATGTCTGCGGGGGCTGGTGTTTTATTTCATTTGGACTTCATTTCCTGAAAACACAACCAGCCACATTTTTTCATTTTTTCATTGCAATTGATTGAATACCAAGAGTACCTACACTGACTGATTGAATACCAAGAGTACCTACACTGACCTCTATTCAAGTAGTTAGTCTGGATGTATCTCAGTGCATAGCTGAGATCAAAACCTGGCCTAATGTTTGCATCTGTATGGCTCCCTTTCTTCAGACAATAATGAGCTTTATTGCTGAAGTTTTATAAAATAAGTCAAGATTTTTTTTCTTAAATCATGAAATATGTGGGGCCAATATTTGAAAAATTATGAGTGATTTTTGGGTGTATATTTTGAGACACAGTCAAGGAACCTGACTTCATAACGTGTTAAGCAGCCAACCTCTAAACACAAGACCTCTTTCAGATGACTAAAGTTGGGCATCCAAAAACTAAGGTATCCAAATTGCTAGCAACTTCTGGGCCAATAATCTTGGACTAGAAACTTTGTAGAATGCCACAGACTTTTTGCAGATAAGGTTCTTTAAGTCACTGTTCCCTAACACTCAAAACAGTTTTCTCATGAAAAATTATGAAAAATTATCATGACATAAGCATTCTTTTCCTTGCAGCATTTTGCATCAGGACATTATGAAAAAGCTTTACTTGCCATTTGTGCTGGTGATGCTGAAGATTATTAAAGGAAGAAGGATTCAAGAAAGTTGAGCACATTTCTCTAGAAGTGTAGGTTCACTCTGTACTATATACAAGAATAGAAAAATCAATGCTCTATAATTTCTAATTTTGAATCTTTTCAAAAACAAGAAAGTATATTTTTGGTCAGTAATATATTCCTCTTTCACTAAGCTCTGAAGAAATTGTATTACTTTGACTAATATAAAATTAATTAAAACAGTCTAATAGAAATAATACCAAATAAAGCTATATACATTTGTGTATATTATTTAGTCCCTTGACATCCACCCTAAAGCAGTACTTATAACACATAATCAAATACCAATAACTAGATAATACAAATAACCTGTTAAAGAGCCTGTGCACTTTAAATCTGGGGCAAAACATTATTTGTCATTTACCTTAATGGATGTGATTCTCCTAATTCATTTTCCTGTTCTTTTAGACTATCTTAATATCCAACTCTTATGCCCAACAGTAAATGTCAAACTCACCCAAGCTCCTGGACCAGATCTAAACCAAAGAGCTCCTCCTTACCAGCTGGATCTAGATGTAAGGAGCCTCACAGGCTGGATCTGGCCCCAGAAGTTGGGTGACTGGCAGCAACAGCGGAATGGGGGATAACAAATATATCACTTAACGCCCCCTCCCCTGCTTTCCATCAACACACATCTCTAATGAGGCTCCATGGGTAGAAATTCAGCAGCAGGCCCCAGCCCCTGTTCTTGGCCCTTCTAGCCTGCAGGCTGGATGAAACAGCTCTGTAGGACAGATGCAACCCACAAGTGGTATCTTTTACATCCCTAGACTACAGCTTTACTTTAAAACTGAGCATCTGCCATCTGCAGTGTAAATCACATATTCAGCAAAGGTACATTTTATATTGTCTCTCACATTTGAGAAATGTAAACCATACTGGAGAACTTAAGTTTTTAATTTGAAATAGAAATAAGAGTTAGAATTAAGAATGTCACCCTGTTCTTGATCCATTCACTTTAATATCAAGTGATTTATGTCATGGTACAGCTTTTGGAAATTGAATAAACATAAGTAACTTAATTATTTAAATCTATTTGCAGTCTTTGTTACTTAAATAGCTAATGGCATATTAACCCTCTGAATGTCTGCACAAGTAGGCTATTTATCTTTTCAATGCAATTTGTGAGTATATGGTATAGAATAAAAAACAAATACTATGTGCAGCCACATAAGTGGGGACCTATCCAAGTTGAGTAAGCAGGTAGCCAATTTTGCAAGCAGATTGCGAAGCCGGCTGCCATTTTTGTGGCCATATTGCAGCAGGGCCCCCTCACACCTCTGATTGGCTATGGAGCCCCTAGCCCCGTCCTTTGCTACCGATTAAAAGGGCTGCCCATCATGCAGCCCTGCTCCTCACCACTGATTGGCCAAAAGGGCTGTCCATCATGCAGCCCCCTCCCCCTAGCTACTGATTGGTTGAGAGGGGCAGGGCCACATGACAAGCAGCTCTCTCCACCAAACAGTAGCGAGGGGCAGGAGCAAGGGCAAGGGCAAGGGCAGCGGCAGCGGCAGTGGCAGCAGCAGCAACAACAACAACAGCAACCATCTTACCTGTGCTTCCCTTTGTGCCAGCAGCCCCTCTCCCCCATTCTGCCCCAGTGGGCTGTGTGGCTGGGCTGCAGCGGCCATGAGGACTGCTGACTCCCACTCAGAACCGAGCCATTTATTTTTATTAAGCTTTTTTTTTTCACAGATTTCGCAAACATGGATAATGCCCAATTTTGTAATTTCCAAGCCTACACTGTGACTGGGCAGGGTATCCCCAGCTCCCTGCACAAGGCCGGGGTGGATCCTCTTTCTCTGCCTGGCACAGGGGGCAAGTGCCAAAGAAAAAAATTATCAGGCCTCTCAGCGCTCAGGTAGTTCCTGATGGGCTGGGAGCCTGGCTGGCAGTGGTGCAGGGGGCCAAGCTGCCAGCTCTTAACTCTGAGGGACACAATCCTTTCTTTCTCCAGAGCTTGCCCCTTGCATGGCCCCCAGCAGGGGCAAAGCCAATCCAAGTGGCAGCAGGAGCACTGGAGCCCCTGGGTGCTACCCGATGTCCCTAGGAGGTGAGGCGCCATGCCTGGCCCTGCTGCACCTTGGCATCTCTGCTCTTCCTGCATCAGGAGAGGCCTCCGCATTCTGGGATACTGGAAGAAAACTCAGCTGGAATAGCTGTGGGAAGTGGCCACCTGGTAATGGAACAGGAACTAGATTGGGCAGAGTCAAAATAATCCTGCCCAGGAGTGGCATAACTTTAAGCTGAATCAAGAGTGCTTTAAGCGAGCGTTTCTCAACCAGTGGGATGTGAAGGCTGTCTAGGTAGGATGTGGAGAAGCGGTGGGCTCACCGCTGGCACTTCCATCACCATATGTCACTGGCACTTCCAGGTTTGCTTGTCAACCAGCTTCTGGGGGACACCCCCTCCCCACCGCTTGTTGTTTATCATGGTGGGGCCAGGGTTTTTGGAACCAATGGTTGGTGGGATATAAGATGGAAAAGGTTGAGGATTGCTGCTTTAAGCCACTTAAAAGGTGTTAACATGCAGCCAGTCCAGGGATTAAAAGATCCTGAAGCCACCTGAAATTACCATGTAACAAATCCCTTAAACACATGAATAAGCCCATCTCTGTTCTGCAAAGCACTTACGACCTGCATAACAAACACTGAAATGTAATACTTCTGGCTTTCCAGTTCTTATTCTTTTATATGACCTGGTTATTCCCCTTGAAGTTGTAGCCTTCCAGCATTTGCTATGAGCAAAACCATACACATTTGATGGCAAGCAAAGAAAAAAATACTTCATGTGGATTTAAATAGTGCAGAAACCTACATACTGTGTTGTGCCTTATAGCTGTGCACAGGCTGTTGATAATGTAAAAGAACAAAGTGGTCACCAGAAGAGGAAACCACATGGCAAAAGACAATAGCAGGGTGGCAAAACAATTATCTTCTCCTCTTTAAAACAGTTATAAAACAGTGGGCACATCTACATGAGATGTTTACTGCAGAGCTGCCTAATTAGCTCTGCAGTAAAGTCTCCAAATCTACACATGCAGCCCTATTAGGCCACAGTAAACTAATAAACACAACTGTAGGTTAGCACTTATAAATACAAGTACTATCCATGGTGCTGTTATTTACTGTGCAGCAATTTACATGTAAACCAAGGGTGTCCAACCTTTTCAAATGTGGGGCCAGATCACGAACTTTTTATCACCCAATGGGCCAGCGAGCCATATTCAAAGACCTCACAGGAAGTGGTATCACATCAGGAAGTCATGTCACGTGACCTTTGACACCAATGAAGTTGCAGGAAGAGACAATTAAATGGGTCTGGAAATGTGGTTTAAAATCCAAAATAAAATCAATGTAAAAAGCAACAAAGAAATAATACCAAACACTTGTGTGGTCATACAGGAGACACAAGTTTCCCTACTAGCACAGAGGGACAGCAAAGTTAGGGCACACAAGCTTCTTTCTGAAAAGCACACAGGGAGCCATGTGGCATTATGCTGGATCACCTTGGACTGCCCAGAATCAATGACTCAATTCCCAAATACAGCTGGGGGCAAAAAAGGAGGCAGCTTCTAGCACAAGTAGAAAGCAAGACTTACGCTTACCTCTCTCAAATTCAGCAAGACACTATAACTGCTCTGCCCCGTTTTCCCTTTTGCAACCAAAAATGGCAAAGAGTCTCCCCTGTGAAAGGCAGGGACCCCCCCGCCCCACACACACATACAGGTGCCAGGAGCCCACAGTCACCGGCCTGGCACCGGGGGAGGCACCGTCTTCCCACCCCGACCCCGGCCTCAGCCCGGCCCGGCCCTACCTGCGGCACCCTGGCCAGGCAGGATGCAGCAGAGGCAGACAACAAGGGCGAGCCTGGCTGCCGCGCCCCCTCCATAGGTCTGCATCACTGAGCCATGCCACGGCAGGCTGGAGGGAGCCGGGGCCAAGGCTGAGGCCAGGGCCGGGCGGCACCTCGGAGCGCAGCAAGCTCAGGCTCTGCCCAAGCCCAGGGCCACCCTGCGCAGCGCGGCCAATGCTGACAGCCCAGCGAGAGGAGTCACCTGCCCGCACCACTCCGCATCCGCCTCCGCCTGTGCGCCACACACCCAACCCACAGTCACCCGTTGCACCCCTCATGCCCTTTCACTCCTGCTTTGCAGCCCCCTGCTCCCCTCCCAGCCCTGGCAGTGCCCCTCGCCCACTACCTGCAGCCCCTGCCCCACCCTTCCCTGCTGGTGCCCCTCACTCCCAACCCGCAGCCCCTGCCCCACAGCCCTGCCAGTGTCCTGCACTCTGGACCCACAGCCCCTGCTCCCCCAGCCCTGTTGGTACCCCTCACTCCCAACCTGCAGACCCCTGCCCCCCTCCCCCCAGCCCTGCTTCCCAAGTAGTTACTGCATTGCGCACACGCAGGCTCACACACATACACACACACTCTCTCTCTTACCTGGCAGCTTGTCAGAGTCTATGTGGGGAGCACGTGACCCCGACAGCCAATCATAGATTCATAGATTGTAAGGCCAGAAGGGACCTCAGAAGATCATCATGTTGCCCTGTGGGGTTAGGCCAACTCTCAGGATCTCAATATTGCGCTAGACAGGAGGGTGTGACACAATTGCACATATACAAACAGACAAATCAATTAGGTGCATACACACACACACTACCAGCTCAGGCACATACACATCCAAACCAGCCTAGGCACATGCATACCTATCACCAATTCAAGCACATACACTCCAAAAGTTAGACACAGATCACTAATTTGTATATCATGCACACGATGGCATATATATATATATATACACACACACACACACACACACACACACACACACCCACCAGTTCACACACATACAACCCACCTACACATACACACAAGTAAGTTCCTAACTTGGATGGTACAGTGTGTATGTGTGTGCTTGGGGTGCCTGGGATACTTAGGCGAAGGTTCAGGTGAGAGAGAGAGTGT